AGACAATCGTAATAATAATTGTATAGGGGACAAAAAATGGAGAAAACTATCTGCCGATAAGTTGCGATTTGTCAAATTGTTCGAAAAAAAAACTTGAGAGAAGATATTTTTTGCAGCGCGAACATCAAAAGAAAAAGAGACGATGAATGCACTTCTCTCGAAATCACACCTAATTATTTTTCCTTTTTTGAAAAATGATTTTTGGGCGTTATCGCAATTTATTTTTGTATAGAAAAGAAAAATCGATTTCAAAATAATCGGGGAAAAAAATTGAAAAAGACGCTTCAGATATGTTCGTTTCCCTACATTCAATGCTCAACATTTTTTTTTTCAAAATCTTGAGAGGCACAAAAAGGATTCCAGAGCTACACAAGGAAGTCACACCTGTTACGCAAAGAAGGAAGATAGCTTATCAAAAATCAGAACACTGAAAATGTCTAGACTTTTCGAATAGGTGGACGACATTCAATGCGTTAAATTTTTTTCTAGAACTTTTGATAAGAAACGCATGATTAGAGGTCATTTGAGTTTTGAGATATCGAAAGCTAGTATACTAAACAAGATAAAAATTTATGTTAAAAGAAAATATGGCTCTCACTATGCGAGAGGGGGGGGGGGAGGAAAATAGGAAATCAGGAACTTCAGGACTAGAAATTTTCAATTTCCGCTCAATTTCTTCTTTGAAAAACTAAAAACTGGGCATAGAATTTTTGGTAGACACATTCTCGTTTGAGCACTGTTTTAATTACGGTGCGCGCACCCGCCCTTTTTATGTCTCTGTTTTTAGAGACCATAGAAGATCTAATTAAAATTAAGCGCCGGGACAATTAAATGGAGCAATGTTATATGTACAAGAGGAACAATTGAAAAAAAATTATTGCCAAACACGCAATGCTCAAATCTGGTTTCTCTGGTTCTGAAAGTAAGAGTCCAAATGTAAAGTGTGACTTGTAAGCTTTTCATGAGAAAAAAAGAGAAAATAACAAGAGCTGTCTGATATGATTAGACTCAGCCAGTGGGAACATGTTCGAGAGTGGATTTCACGGAAAATCCAATGAGGTTTTTTTCTCTTTCAGATGAGCTTAATGGATCTTAACTTTCTGTGAAGCTACGGAAGTGACATGAAGCTTATGGTTTCTAAAATCTAAAAGTTCTCAAAAAAACAGATGACGTTTGGAGCACTGTTGTTGACATCAAAATTGATAAAAAGAGAGGGGGAACACAAAAAAAGGTGTGAATTTCCAATTTCAGACTCGTTAGACTGGAAAAGGGGAAGAAGAAAAAAGTCCTATAGAAATGACGCTAACAACTAGCTAAAGTCTCATTTTCAAAGGAATGTTTGATAAGCGTTCTCTCAAGGTTATACACATTCCTTTAGAAGAAAGCTTTATCTCATCTCGCAACAAAAGGACAGCCTTTTTTCTCTGTGGAGGTCTTTGGAGGGGTACGGTAGTCGTTTCTCGTTTGAATCTTGATGATCGGGAGAAATTTGATAGGAGGGTTTCGCCAATTTTTTTGATTCGGAGAAAAGACTCTCATTTCATTTTGAAAACGATTTGGACAGTTCGTAAAAACTAGATACAGTTCTAAGTTGAGATTTTACTAACTTTTGTCTGAAAAATATCTGGCTACATTTTCTAGAAAGCTACAGTAATTCGGACGAGTTTTAAAACTCATTGTAGTCTATTTTTCAATCAGTTCAAAGTTGTAAACTCAGTTTTCTCTATCTTGAATATTTTTTTTTCACTAAATCGACTTTCTCTAGCTTACACTAACCCCGAAAGTCAATATTTTGTTTTGAAACTTTCTAATAAGAAAAAGCGGAGCACAGCCAATTATTATTAGTTCCAATTCCATTTTTTTTCAAAAAAAAAAAAGCAGTTCATCCGTATTGTCCACTTCGAGCTCAGTTATCTCCATTCCTGCACAAGATATCAAAATTTCTCAACTGATAAGATAGTCATTATAATATTACCAACATTTTATCAGTTGACAACTTTTTCGTATCTTTCACAGGAATTTAGATAATTGAGCTCGAAATTCACGGTTTAGGTGAGCTTTCATAAATGGAAATACGGTAGCCATGAAAGTGGGGTTTTTTGCTAATTTAGATGAAAAATGGATTTCTAGCGTTCACAAAACTCAAACTCTCCGACTAGTTAATCTTTAATGTTCCAAAAATCATATAAAATTTTCAGACAATGTCTAGAATTTCAACTGCTGCTGAGTGTCTTGTCTGATGGAATCCCAAGCGAGCTGATATGCATCATGTGAGTGTTTTCCTTCAAATTTAGATGAAGTCCTTTTTGACAGTGATAGTACTGTAGTTCTCCCCGAATTCTTATTTAACATGACATTTCTTGTGATATACTTGTAAGTTGTCTATATATTGCCCACACACACACTCCTTCTCCATCACTCGACCCCCAGTAAGAAGAAACGTCGTTCCAATTTGCCCTGAGATCATCAATTTCAAAATTGAAGACAAAAACCAGAACGATATACACTTCGGGCTGTATGTGTCTTAAGATTGTCTCGAAAGATGAAGGGCGCGGCGGACCTGGGGGTGATGGAACCTGCGGTCACCTCCGTTTTTCTTCTTCTCTTCTTTTTCTTCTTCTTCTTCTTTCCCCCCATTTTTCAACTTTATTCTCGTTCTCAAGTACCTTTCGACGACGTCGCCACCGTTGTCGTCGTCGAATACGGTTTGTCGTCACGTTCGCGCGTTAAGAACGCATAGTTTCGGCCCGCCACCCCCAGGGCCCGCGTCGATTTGGTTCAGATTGCGACGGCGCCGGCGCCACCGCGACAACAAAAACGCGATGGATGCGAAAAGAGAAGAAGAAGAATAGGAAGAAGAATAGGGAAAAACAAGGTCGATCGCAACATTTTTCCGAATAGAGTTCCTGTATTTTTTCCTTCTCTCTCTCAATCTCTGTTCGATGTTCCGAAAACTGGAAAAGGCCTCGCGCGCTACTTACAATAACCTATATGTAGGTCGAGGCAAACAACGTTCGAATCGACCCCCCTTATTTGTCGAAAATATTCAACGTCAATTCCAAGAAGTAGTACAAGGATTACGGTAGTACAAGAAAAACAAAACATTGGGTTTGAGAGTTGGTGCAGTAATCTGAAGCAAGAATGTATGTTTGACCTCAATTATCTCAATTTCTATGAGGAATATGAAAAGCTTGTCAACTGATAAAATGTTTATCATAATATCACCAACCTTTTGTCTGTTGACAAACTTTTGATTTCTCTTATAAGAATCGAGATAATCGAGCTAGTACAGGGTGGCCTTCTATTGAAATGTTTACGGTAATATGACAGTGAAGAAATCAAAAACTATTCAAAGAAGGAATTTGGCATTACCATATAATTTTAAAGTTGGTTCTAAATGTACAAAGATTACGGTAGAACAAAAGCAGAAGAAATTTGGATTCGAGAGTTAGTTCAGTAATCTTAACTTATCAAGTCTAGGAATTGAAAATCGCTCTAGAAAAAAGTTTGGCAAGAATAGAAACTTTTGGAGCTAGCTCAAAATGGTGAAATCAATCAAAGCAACTCATTTGGAACTATTCTCTAGACAATACAAGAGAGAAATGGAAGAAATCTAAGACTTCCTTAAAACTGAAAATTTTAGGAGTGCATGTGAGCTCTCTGAGAGCATCATTAAAAAACGAGGAAAAAAGTTGTTCCTCCACTTTTCCTAATTCAATTTTTTATTCAATCCCTCCCTACAAATTCCTTTTAGCTGTTCTTCCCTGATTAACTTACCCGCAATGCTGCAAGCATTTTATCGAATGTCATAAACTTGGAGAGTGCGGCCACATTCGCTTCGAGCGTCATCGTTTCTAGATTCTTCATTCTTTTTCAATAATAAAATTAGCAGGAGTACTTCATTGTATTTATGTTGTTGTTTAGTAACTTCAAATGGCGAGAGGGAGGAGGTGGGAGGGCGTTGTCCGTGGCGTCCGAAGTTTTTGCGGTAATATGGAACGCACACACTTAAAAAATCGGGGCCGAACGACACAGAGAGAAAAAACTTTTCTCTATCTATGTGGGATGTGTTTTTATGTGGAAGACCGTTTGACCTTGGAACGGATCGAATAGGAAGTGAGTTACCTTAAAAGGGTGAGCACTTCCTAATTAGGAACTTTGCACGGATAGTCTCAAACCAATCAAAAAACAGGTACCGTAACCTTGTTGATTGATAAGACATTCCTCCCCGTGTTGCAAAATGATAATCGATCTCTCAAAGTCGACCTTTTCAGATGAACCATCTCAATAAAGATAGATTTCCATAAAATTTAGGTCGTGTAGAGTTGTTTGTTTCCTTATTGGGTAGTCGAAATTCCCTATTAGTTGCCCAACATCATCTCAGAACGATTTTTCATCTCAATTTTGAACGACCTTTGTCAGTACTTTCACTTTATGGCGTTAGGGTAGTCGATTAGAACCTTCCTTCACTAGTTCGCAACCAAATAAGATGAATGACCCGCTGAAAAATAGTTTTTTTTCTCTCTGACATTACTACTTCTACTCCAGAAGGAAAGGCGAATCGAGATGACCTCTGGCAATTTAGAGTGTGAATGAAGATTAGTTGCAGTTTGGACACAGTAGCCCAACTGTTATCAACTTGTTGTTGTACGTTTTTGTCGACCCCCCGGAGGAAGAAAAAAGTTGAAACCCCATCTCATAGAACATCAGTTCTGTGCTCCTTCTATCTTCAATTTTTCAAAACTACGGACTCTTGCTCTCGCGGGCGTTTTGGAAGAATGGCGTGAGTTTATTGCACTGCTCGGAGGGGACAAATGGTTCGGAAAATGAGAAATGAAGATCCGAGCAAGAATCAACACCTAGGGATTACGAGAATTTACACAAACACATAAAAACCAATCACAAAAAAAATCTACAATAATGATAGTGCATTTCGGACCTGGGTAGAGCGGTAATTGTAATTGTCTAACCTGGTTGAGAAAAAATAATAACAAACTAACGTCGTCATCGCTGTTTGGTGGTGTCAAACAGTTATTTTTGCTGTGTATCCTTCGGTGGCGCTGAAAAATAAGCATTATTAGTTTTAAATGAGGTTTTGATACTTTTCTAGACTCCTTTTTAACTTCTTCATCAGTTTTCTCAATTTCAACGTAACTGTCTGGACTATCGAGGTAGATTGGGGTAGCTGGACCGAATGGGATGAATGCCAAAGGGGTGTTGGGATTGGTAGAAATCGGGGTGTGAACCGGAGTCTCGAATGGCGTATGATGATAATACTTTGGCGTCGGATGATGAATATGGTGGAAATGACCCAATAAATTAGTATACATGGCACCAAGGGACGCAACAAGGTACTAGTAGCGGTCGAGTAGGTTGCGAATGCGTGTACGTTTTTGAGGGGGAGTGGTGTTGTTGCAATGATCTGATTTACTTCATCTCGGCGCTGCCCCCCGGTTAAGATAGCCGTCGCTGATTCGCCCCCGTGCGTAGGGAGGCAGGGTTTGAACAGTTTTCGCAACTCCCCCTGAATGCACTATTGGCAGAGAAAAATGCAAAGAGAGAAAAATATTGGCGTTGAAGACGTTTATATGTATCTGTGTGGCGCTGTCACCCCTAACGCGGAGGTACGGGTTACACACTGTTGATAAGACACTGAATATATATGAATGATGGCCCACGATCCAAGGGTACATCGAAAAAGGGTACATCGAGGGTACATCGAGGGTACATCGAGTTCTTAGGGTACATTGGTGCTGAGGGTACATGGGATCTTAGACTGTAAGGCGTTTTAGCCTAAGTCTATAATTTTGAGCAGAAAGCAAAATTGTATGTATAAAAATATTTATTTACTTTTTTTGTCCACCTACATGTACCGAACAATCCAATGTACCCTTGGAACCAATGTACCCGAAGAACTCGATGTACCCTTTTTCGATGTACCCTTGGATACTGGGCCAGGAATGATTTCTTTTTTTATATCACTGAACATATACTCGGAAGATGGCGGGCAAAGTTCTGAAGTCATAGTTCAAGAATTTAGGTATACGGTATCTTTGCCAATTTGCGCTAATTAGTTTGAAGGCATGTGACTAATTACTGCCTAATTACCGCCCAATTAAACTCAATTAATTTTATGGGATTTTCGTGACTTGAAAATTCGTTGCCTACAGAATCCCTGCCTGCCAATGACGATAGTATCTACTACCCTTTCGAGACTCAAACGCTTTACCCCAGATTTTTGAGTGATTCAGATCTACAGTAACCCGGGGAGATTTTTTCTAGTTTAGGATTTGTAATTTTTGAACATTTTGTTAAGACGTTAATTTGGAATAACGAGGAACGGTACAGTACCGGTCAATAAGGTCGATAAGTTAAAAGTATTTTTCAGTCAATTGTGGCTGTTTTACCATTTTCCAGAGTCTGGACCTCGGCTCTCACGTTTCCGATTACATTAAAAATTGGAGAAAGTGTAAAACAAGCCTAGATTGAAATTTTATCTTCACAGAATTTTCGGAGCGTTCCTAGTTTTTCAGGCATTGGCAGATTTCTGAAAGACACATTTTTCCCGTTTTTAGTACAAAAAAGGGCCAAACAGGGTGTCTTTCAAAAAGGGTGTCTTTCAGAAATCTACGAATAGCTGAAATTAGGATTTTTCAAAAATGCTATCAACTCCAAAAATTCAATCCAGGTCTGTTTAACACCGTCCGACATTTTCAAAGTGATTGAAAATTAAACAGCCGAGCTCCAGACCCCTGAAAATAGCTAAGATAACCAAAAATCGACTGAAAAAACCTTTTCGGGTATCTTTTTCACTGATACTGTTCATGATATACCGAAAACCTGTATTAAAAGGGCTCACTCCAATTGAAGGGATCCTGTTTTAGAAGGGCCCTCTGGAGGTACCTTGAAACACTATAAGGGCCGGCTCTTCTAGTACAGGTTTTACAGTAACTTGAACTTTCAATGACTCGTGATGATAACTACAATGAAAAAAATTCTAAAAATTTCTCCAACTTACCCTGCGAGTCACACGTTTTCGTCTAACGACGGGCTCAGCGACCTTCTCCGGATTCTCATTTGTTTCAATTTCCATCGACTGTGCCGCAATGACTCCTCCATTTGTGCCCATTTAAATGGCGCCAATTGCGCCGGAGTGTGCGCTGAAAAATTTTATTCAGTAAGGTTGAGAAGGAAGAACAAAAAATAGAAAGGTATTGTGATAGGAAAACCAAATTAGTTTTTTGAATTTGAAATTTTTTGAATTCCGATATCTGGCGCTCGAATATTGATGATAGTGATAATGACCTAATATAATGTGATGTTAATGGAAAAGTATATCTCCTTTTGCAGGCACAGGGTGAGAGTAAAAGAAGAAAGTGAAAGTAATCAAAGAGAACAGATAAGAAAAAGCGAGAACGGAGCGGTATCGTTATTTTCTGAAACTTCTCACATTTTATGTACCGTACTTCTTGAGAAAAATAACTTTTTATCGTCAAAAACTTTCCAACTAAAAGCCAAAAAAGTACTATTGTTCCTGGTCGAGGTCAGTGTTATCTTTTTCTCCTCTTGTAAGAAACAAAAATAATAAAAGATGTTTGTGCAGCGAAGAGAGAAAAAAAGACAATGAGTAAAAGATAAAAAGAGATAGAAGAAAGTGAAGAAAAGTGGAATGGGATGAGATGGAGCATTCAGGATAAGTGAGAGAGAAGATAGGGAACGGACTCTCAAATTTTGTCGTATTGATAATTTTCTCCCGTTTTATCTTGAGGAATTCTTTTCACTTGTGCTCTCTATGATGAAACCTAGCAAGCGAAAGAGCTTAGTGGTCCCAAGAATCGTTGGAAGAGGAGGAGAAAAAAAAATTGTTTCTCCTTCCGTCGTGACACACGTGCACTTCGTAAAGTGCTAAAAAAATCATTGGATGAGGGGAAGAAGCGGCAGAAGAAAAATGAAAAGGATGGAAAAAAGGAAAGCAATTGGCTCGGATGGATTTAGAAGGAAAGAATCTTCTCGAGAAAGTTATTAGTGTTGAAAGAAAGTACTATTAACAAGGGAAACTCGACTCATAGTTTGATGGAAAGTTCTAACTATGTTAAGGGAAGCCTATCTAGACCAGAAGAGTTCGGAACGGAATTCGAAATTCCAAAAATTCATAAAATTTCTATCATTTTCGGAGCGGAATAATTCCGAGAAAAAAATTCGAAATGAATTTCGGTCGGAATATTTCCAAAAAATTTTCTCGGATTAAAACTCCTATCGAATTTATTCAAAGCTGTTTTTTCCAGAATTAGAGACTTTTGGACTACGGTATGCCAAAGGTGTTTGCTTGCGGGTCTAGAACAAAACTATTTTTGATATTTTTTGCACTGTCAACATGTGTCTGTCAATTTTCACGAGTTTTTGGCGATTATGTGATGGAAAAGTGGAATTCGTCCGTTTAAATTTCAACTTTCAAAATTCCCCAGATTTCCGGAATTCCGAAAACTTCAAATTCGCAATTTTCCAATATTCCAGAATTCCAAATTTTTCAAAATCAGAATTTTCCAAGATTCCGCAATTCTGAAATTATTGAAATCAGAAACTTCCGAATTTTCCAAAAATCGAGATGCTTCAAAATCGGAATTTTCCAATATTCCGAAAACATCAAAATCGGAATTTTCCCATATTCCAAAATTCCACATTTTTAAAAATCAGAATATTCCGAAAAACCTTGAAAAGATCATTCCAGACATTCCTGATCTAGACAATTTTTTAAAGTTCAGTATCCTCAGTATTAGAAATGCCAGATTTGACACATTTTTCAAAATTTTTTTTAATTTAAAGTTTTTCCTTCGATTTTTTTGAAATTTTGAGAAAATGGTTTTTGAGAAAGAAAATCAAATGTAAAAATAAGAGATCAAACAAGAACACCCAAGAATTAAAAGGATCAGACAGCGCAACCTTGCATACATAGAAACCAACAGCCATGGCTCAGACATTGCAGAAGATTAACACTCTGAAACTAAACTTTATAAAAGTGCATTTCTATTTAACACGCCTTTCATCCGCTTGGCTGATTATCACTCTTGGCGCCGGCGACTGAACTCTGGTTCAGTTCCCCCTTAGCTCTCAAAATATATATACTAAAATCCTGCCTACAAAATTGCGGATTAGTGCCAAGGCACTTCTGATTTCCGAAAAACGTTCGTATAATCATGTCGGTGCCAGGACCCAGCAAAAGGGAACGGAAGGAGGAGGATATTTTCTGAGGTGCGAAAAATTGAAGTGGATTTGAAATAGATATGAGAAAAGACAGAAAAAAGAGGGAGGAGCCAAAGAAAATTGAGTTGAATTCTGGTTTGGCATCCTTGAGAGCAGAGGGTGGAAGATGAATAATTGTGAAAAGGTCCTCCATGCAAAAATAGATGAAGCAACATATACCTATTGAAAAGGGAAATGGGAGGAGGTCCCTAGTAGAATTGGAGATGAGGATACATACATCTAAAAATGTGAAAAAAAGGAAAATAAGAAATAACACTGAATAAATAAACTCTAAGTGGAATAGGAGATGTGTATAAAGAGTCAAAGAAGGCAACATTTGATTTGGTTATAGAAAATATTAAGAAATATTAGAAATGACCATGATTTGATTGAGTTAGGAGTGTTGAAACATGAAATACTAGGTAAAGGATCAGAGTTGATAAAATGGAAAAATTGAGGTGAATGGATAATGGAAAAAAGTTGAAAATTAGAAAAAATTTGTCGAAAAGAAAATATGATCGTTGTCAAAAAAATGGTAAAGAGCGGATGTCTTTTTAAATTTTTAAAGAAGCATGAGCAAACTACCGTAACCTATTTTACTATTTTCTTAATTTTCGACAATTTCAAAAAAATTTAAATTGGAATAAATGAATGAAACAATTCAAAATTATTTTTTTTAATGACAAAAGTCGTCAAAAAATAAAATAAAAATAGGAGAAAAATATTTAAAATAGAGTCATAGAATACCGTAGTTTGCTTCTTTGCTTTTAATAATAATTCGACGAGATATCCGTTGTCAAACTTTTTTTCATACAGCGATATTATAAGAAAAAAGTTTATAAATCAGAAAATGTACTTTTTGAAATTCAGGAAAGTTTTATGCAGGTGAAACTTAAATTATTAAGAATTTGAGGAAAAAACATTTAAAAATTAAATTCGATAAATTATTTGAATTTTTAAGAATATGAATATTATTGAAACGATGAAAATAAGCTGAAGATTCTAAAAAATTCCAAAAATCTGAAAAAAATTCTGAATTTCGGAAGACACTCAAAAAACAACAAACTAGAACAAGAAGAAAACATGAGAGCGATTTCCAAAAGGTCACACAGAAAATGAAAACGGATGCAACATCCAGAAAAAAAGCAAAATCCCTAGGAGGGCTCCCCGGACAAAACGGGACCCGCCGACGCAAGGGGGAGACAAGAAAATGAGACGCAGGGAATTTCGAGAAAAAATGTGGGAGAGAAGGAGCAATATGGGGGGTATGTTGCAAGAGGCGAAGAAGTGAGCCAGCAAAAAAAGAAGAGTCAGGAAATAACGCCAACTATATTTGGGTGTGTGTGTGTGTGTGTGGTGCACAAGAAGTACTATTTACGAAACAATAGGACAACAAAATGCGATAAGAAATGCTGCGAAAGTTAGTTTGCCGAATACAGTAAGGGGTTTTTCGAAAAAGACTGAAAGATCGGAACACACAAACAGTGGCGGAGCCAAAGAATTGAGCAAGATAGGAGAAACGGAGGAGAAGCGAAACGGCGAAAAACGAGAACCTTGTGCACTGGCGAACATTTATCGAGCACTGAATAAACAGTGCAGCGTTCGGTTCTTGGCTTTCTCGGAGCGTTTCGTTTACCTCTTCATTTTTTTTTGAAATTCAATTTTAAGAAAGTTTTCTGACCTTTACGGGGGAGGATATATTTTTGGTAACAAAATAGAGAATTAACTTGGAAATCTTGGAGTAAGTAAACCAAACAATAGTCCCATGGGGATTCTTTTTTTTTTGAAAAATGGACAGAAAAAGTGTTTCGAAGGGCAGAGGAATAGAGGTCTTTGGAATAAGATGGAGCATCTATCAAATAAAAGTGTGCTAAAAATTTGGTGTGCTCTAAGAGCCACATAAATAAAGACAACAAGGAAATAACTAGTAGAAGAGTATACTGGAAACGTGGATGATTCGAAATATATACGAGCAACACAAGAGGGCATGGGAAATGAGTAAGTGCAAACATGAGGAGAAGTGAAAAAAAATGAGTTTGCACTAGTGAAGAAGGAGACCCCCGAAAAGAAATTTTCCATTGATAAAACTCTGCCCTTCTTCTTCTTCATCTTTGAGTTTTTAAATTGTGTTCTTTTCTCAATTTGAGTTGCCAATGACCTCCCTTTATTTCCTGAATAATAACCTATGAATGAAAATTATTTTCCTTCCTTTCTTCCCAATTTTCTTTCTGTCCCAATGAATGCATAGCCCTTTTTGTTTTATTGTCTTTTTTCTTTTTTCATGGTCCTGACCACCCTTCCAGCAAACTAGTATATGCAAAAAACTAGAAAAATTGTGTTGTTTGATCGTTAATTTATTCGGGAAAAAGAGGGAGGCGAAATCTTTAATCCGGGCGATCTTTATAAATTATGTGTGCGTCATGATACGCAAATTTCTTTTTTTTTCTCAAATTTTATTTAAATCGGATTTTTGAAACTTTGAAAATTCTTTAGAAATATAATAACAAAAAGGTCTGGAAAAGTAAAAGTAGAAAAAGAAATTTCGAAATCGAAACCCAGGTAGTTCAAAAAAGTAGTTCAAAAATCAATAGAATCAGATGACTTTTTGTGTACTATGTCACTTTCATATTGGTTTTTTAATGTCTGTTTTCCTTTCTATCGTTTTTTTTTTGTATATTAGCGATATCATTATTATCGCTGGATGAAACAAAGTTGAGAGATCTTGTTAATTTTTTAAAGGCGCAAGAGCAAACTACGGTATCTTTTAAGCCTATTTCAAATATTATTTGTCCATTTGCTAAGTTTTTGACGATTTTCATATTTCTTCAATTTGAAAAATTGGTAAAGAAAATTCAAAACGGACCCAAAAGATACGGTAATTCAAAAACT